GGTAGCGAGCGTCACTAGCGCGGAGGTGGGTAATGAGGTCAGCGACAGTGGGAAAGGCAGCGAGGTCAGGGAAGAGAAAAGGTAGCATGAGGCGGCTCAGCGTAGCGGAGGAAGGGGAGGAGTAGCGTGCAACTACAGCGTCGTACAAGGCCTGAGCGGTCTTGCACTGACTAAAGTGGGCACGCTCGGAGGAAGGGAGGTGGCGACGCACAGCAAGACGTGCAGCAGCATCGCGCGTCGCCCACTTGGAGCGAACGGCGGAATCAGCATCAGGAGGAGGGGCAGGGACAGCGCCAGAGACAAAGTCAAAGAGAGAGACCTCATCGACCGCATCACACAGTAAGTACAGCTGCAGGTCCTCAATCCAGACTGCAAAGTCAATGGCTCTACCCTCAGCGTCAAAAGCTAGGACATTGGGGGTGGCCATGACAGCAGCTGACAGTCTCACCAGGCAGGAAGAGTCGGGTAGGTCAGCGGCGCAGGTACACAGCCCAGGAGCAGCAGTAGCCCGACAGGAGCAGGAGTGCAGCTCCTCTGGCGGCTCGGGCAGCTCGGGCGGCTCGGGCGGCTCGGGCGGCTCGGGCGGCGCGGGCGGCTTGGGCGGCTCGGGCGGCTAGGGCGGCGCGGGCGGCCCGGGCGGCTCGGGCGGCTCAGGCGGCTCGGGCGGCGGCACGGGCGGCTGGGGCGGCTCGGTGGCGGCTCACGGGCGGCTGAGACGGCGCGCGGGGAGCTCACGGGCGGCTGGGCGGGCGGCCAGGGCGGCTCACGGGCGGCGGCGGCGGCGTCGGCGGCTCACGGGCGACGGCAGCGGCAGCGGCGTCGGCGGCTCACGGGCGGCGTCGGCGGCGTCGGCGGCTCACGGGTGGCGTCGGCGGCGTCGGCGGCTCACGGGCGGCGTTGGCGGCGTCGGCTGCTCACGGGCGGCGTCGGCAGCTCACGGGCGGGCTGAAGGCCCACGGGTGGGCGGTTCGCGGGCAGCGCCGGCTCACGGGCGGGCGGCGGGACGGGCGGCAGCGTCATGGGGGGGGGGGGGGGGGGGGGGGGGGCGACGTGACGGGCGGCGGCGTTACGGGCGGCGGCGTCACGGGCGGCGGTTCACGGGCGGCTGCGTCACGGGCGGCGCTCACGGGCGGCGGCGTCACGGGCGGCGCTGACGGGCGGCGGCGCACGGGCGGCGCTAAAGGGTGGCGCGACGGGCGGCGGCTCACGGGCGGCGCTACGGGCGGCGGCTCACGGGCGGCGCTACGGGCGGCCGCACGGGCGGCGCTAACGGGCGGCCGCACGGGCGGCGCTACTGGCTGCGCAAAGGGCGGCGCGAACGGGCAGCCGCACAGGCGGCGCTAACGGGCGGCCGCACGGGCGGCGCTAACGGGCGGCTCGAAAGGGCGGGCGCTAGGGCGGGCGCTAGGGCGGGCGCTAGGGCGGGCGCTAGGGCGGGCGCCAGGGCAGAAAAAAAAGTTCTAGGTGGTGGGCCCGAAGCACAGTTCCCACAGGGGAACCTGCTCTGATTCCATGACAAGAAGTGAACGAGAGAATGGAATGACTATGAACGAAGTGAGTACAAATAGGAAACCCTAACTGGGTTGTACCCCCTATGGGATACCCCACTATAGCCTACACAAACAAGTAAGCTATAATGTTCTGACAGGTACAAGTAGGAAAACCTAAAAGTGTTGTACCCTATATTGTCCACCCCACTACAGCCTACACAGACTATAGCATATGAGTTTGACACACCCCCATAGGCAAAGTGGGGGAGAACAAGAGGTCACAAGACCAGTCAAGCAAAGCAAAGCAAGCTCAGGGTGGATCACAACGTCACCACACAATCCGAGCACAAGAGCAAGGCCAAAAGGCCATTTCACATGCAAGATCATATATAAAGGTAAACAGGCAAGTGCAGGTATAGAAAGATCACAGTACAAGCAAGGTCAAGAAGTGAGCAAGTGAGGCCAAGTAGGCACAAGACCTAGCATCGTACAGAAGCACTGATGATCACCAGACGGAAGTGCCTTGGTAAAGATATCAGCAGTGTTGGCCTCAGAGGCCACGTAAGCAAGGCGCAGCTGACCACGCTGCTGCAGCTCACGAGCAAGGAAGTAGCGAAGAGCAATGTGCTTCGTTCTGTGCTCCAGTCTGTGCTCCCGACACAAGGCCAGCATGGCCTTGTTGTCTACGTACAGAACTGGAGGAGAACGAGGCGGCTCTCCTAGGTCAGTCAGCAGGTAGGTGAGCCAGCGTAGCTCCTGTGTAGCCATGGCCCCCGCGTAGATCTCAGCCTCACAGCAAGAGCCGAGAACAGAAGACGAGCGGGTAGACCGCCACGAAACAGAGCCGGAACCAAGGCTGAAGGTGTAACCATGTGACGACCGCTGCGTAGCCTGATCGTCAGCCCAAGAAGCGTCTGCGTGACCTATGAGGACTACTCGACGTCGCCCTCAAAGCACTAGCCCCATGCCCGACGTACTGCACAAGTTGCGCAACACCCTCTTCGCTGCAGCCATGTGCTCTGGTCGGTGTCTCCAAGGAGCAACATAGCGTGCCAAGATGCTAAGAGGGTATGCAAGGTCAGGTCGTGTGCAGGTCATCAGGTACATGAGGCAGCCAACAAGCTCTGGGTACGGGCCACTCGGCTCTACGGACTCATCCGAAGGCAGAGCTGAGAGCGAGTGGCGAGTAGATAGAGGAATGGCCTGAGGCGAGGAGTACGTGAAGTCGTAGCGCTAAAGGATCTGCTGTACCATGTGTGACTGAGTCAGGGTAATGGTGTGCTGTGCTCTGTCCCGGGTGATCTGCAAGCCAAGGTAGCTACGCAGTTCACCCAGGTCTGTGCACGTGTGTCTCTTCTGCAGCTCGGACTTCACGTGGGCGAGTCCAGCAGTGTCAGCAGTGGCAAAGACCAAGTCGTCGACGTACACGAGGATGTAGAACGGCGGCAAAGAGGTGTCGGTGTGCAGAAACAGCGACGGGTCGGCTGTAGAAGGAGCAAACCGAAGAGCCGCAAGTGTAGTCCTCAATGTGTCGTGCCACTCGCCGAGCGCCTGGCGGAGATCGTAGACTGGCCGCCAGAGGCTCCACTGGGTACCAGGAGGAAACGACCCAGTGAAGCCAGGAGGGCGGCGCAGCCAGATCTCCTCGTGAAGGCTGCCCTGCAGGAAAGCTGTGCTGAAGTCAAGAGAGTGAAGCTTGTAGTCGCGCTGAGCGGCTATGTGCAGCAGCACCCGAAGAGTGGTCATCTTCGGGGTGGGAGAGAAGGTCTGAAAGTAGTCAACTCCCTGCCGCTGACTGAAGCCTCGAGCCACGTAACGCACCTTGAAGACAGGCGGAGAACCCGGCGGCCGCTTCACCCTGAAAATCTACATGCCACTGACGATGTTCGCCCCAGGTGGGGGAACCTCGTCGACGTAGGTGCCTGTGGACTTCCAGGAAGCCATCTCTGCGTCCATGGCTGACTACCACTGAGAGGAGTAGGGACCCTCGATCGCCTCAGCGTACGATCGAGGAGTCAGGATGTCTGGTGCATCCGGGTCTCCCTCAGGGGCAATCAGCGTGGACACGAGATGAGGCAAAGCAGCAGCAAAACACTAGAACGCCTCCTGACTGTCCTCAAGGACGTCCGTGCTAAGAGCACACTCACCCTCGACGGACGGAGGACAGACAGACTCAGACTCAGGAACAAGACTAGTAGCATAGTCTGGACGACAGCGAGCACCAAAGTCGACAAGCTCAGCAACTAGGGCCAACGCAGCAGTGGACTCAAAGGAAGTGTCAGTGACAACAGTAGCCAGGAGACGCGTGACAGTAGGACTGGCAGCACAAAGAGAGTCAGACTCCGGGTCAGCAAGGAGAGGAAGAGAGGAATCTGGAGGAGACGGCAACGTGACACGCAGAGGAGCAGTGGAAGGACGCAGTTCCATCTGGTGTGTGCCTGGGACCGCAGGAGGACGCGGACGCGGAGCACGACTACTAGTGCGAGCAGTACGAACAGGCGACGCAGGACGAGACACAGGCTCACGACGCTCAGCAAGACCTCCAGTAGGACCAGTGTAGGGAGAAGGAGCAGGTAGGGGGGAGGCGGGCTGTAACTCTGACCGCGACTGGACAGGCTGTGGACACTCTAAGGGAGGAGCAGGACCACAAGAGGGCGGGAGACCAAGAACCTGCTCAAGGAGCGGAACGAAGTACGGCTTCGGCCGCGTAGCGCCTCCAGAACCAGCAAGGACAGCACCAGTACCCCCAGCGGCAGCACCAGCGCCAGCAACACCTCCAGCTCCAACAGCGCCAACTCCAGCACCCTGACACGCACCAGCGCCAGCAGAACCACCAGCGCCAACACCCCCAGCAGCTCCAGCTCCAGCAGCACCAACTCCAGCAGGACCGGCAGCTCCAGTACCGCCAGCAGCTCCAACAGTACCTTCATGAGGACTAACTCCGGCAACCCCAGCAGCACCCCCAGTCCCTGCAACTCCATTACCGCCAGTACGAGCACCTCCGGGACCAGCAGCAACAGTAGTACCTCCAGCTCCAGCAGCACCGCTCCAACGCCGGGCAAACCACTCGCGCAGCTCCTGTGGAGAGAGTAGCTCCCGCCTCGATGAAGCACTGCGAGAGGCCACACGAGCAGACCCAGCACCCCCAGGCTCCGCACCCCCAGGCTCAGCGCCCCCAGGCTCAGCACCCCCAGACTCAGCACCCCCAGGCTCAGCACCCCTAGACTCAGCATCCCCAGGCTCAGCACCCCCAGGCTCCGCACCCCCAAGCTCAGCACCTCCAGACCCGGCACCCGCAGGCTCAGCACCTCTAGCAGCACCAGAGTCAACAGCTACCTCGACAGGCTCGACTGCGTCTACTTGGGACACACCTGACGGGGCAGGACCCTGAGGGGGGAGGGGGTCTACCGGGGGAGGACCTGGCGCAAGGAAGAGCGGCGGCGGGGGGAGGGGCGCAGTGCGGTAGGGGAAGAGACGGTAGTAAGGTACCGACTCGTCAAAGGTGACGTCCTAAGAGGATAGAACACGGCGCGAGGTGGGGTGGTAAAACTGCCACCCAGGCGCGTCAGGGGGGAAGCCAAGGAAGACGCAGGGAACAGCACGCGGGGACAGCTTGTCCGCAGACAAGTCGCGGACAATCGCCCGAGATCCCCAGACCCGAAACGCAGACGCATCGCCAACCTTCCCCGTCCACCGCAAGGTGGGGGAGGTCTCTGGCAAGGAGACGCGGGGCTGAAGGTTGAGCTGATACGCTGCGTACTGAACTGCAAACGGCCACGGAAAATGGGGGCAGCCGCATGGATCATGGACGTACGAGCGACGTCCATGACCATGCCTATGCGGCGCTCAGCAATCCCATTTTGCTGTGGAGAGGCCGGAAGCGTGAAGGTCTGGCAGATGCCCTGTGCACGACAGAAGGCTCCGAGACGGGCAGAGGAAAACTCCCCGCCTCTGTCAGAGTGCAGACGCAGAACAGGAAAGTCCGAGCCGAAACTCTCTCTGAGCTGGAGACGAGCTGCGCGGATCCTGTCGATCAACACCTCAGTGACGTCACCCTTGCTGCGCAAGGGGAACACCGTGGTGTAACGCGAGTAGTCGTCAACCACCAACAGGAAGTAACGCTCGTGACCCTGGCCACGGACGCGGGCGGGGCCCCACACGTCCATGTGAAGAGCCTGCAGCGGAGCCTCTGTCGGAGGAAAATTGGAGGAGTGAGGAGCGGCGCGGTACTACCCCTCAACGCAGGGGACGCATGTAGGGGCAGGCCCCGGAGGTAGGGGAGGTAGGGACCGGGGGAGACCAGAGACAAGGACACGTGAGGCCATGCCTCGGAGACAAGACAGGGAGGGGTGACCAAGGCGATGGTGCCAAAGGAGAGTCTGGTGGGACAGGAGACGACACGAGCAGGGCGCAGACTCAGGACCAGACCTGGACCCTGCAGCAAACACGTGACTCGACGCAGCTACCTGACCAGACTCAGCAACCGGAGGAGACTCAGTAGTCAGTGTGTACAAGCTCGACCCCGGACGACGCGTAAACGTAGCCAAGTGTCGGCCCGTACGAGCACACGTGCAGTGGGTCATCGGCTGACTCGCACGAGTGAACTGGTCAACCCCCCTATCCTGTAGGTCAGCTCCACTCACCAAGTTCGTAGAGAACGAGGGGAGGTAGAGACCTGACAGGGTGCCAGAGGGGGCTGCCGGGCACGGTAGGACAGTGGAGAAGCTAGCAAGGACAGGACCCCCAGAGGGGTCCGCCAGGGAGACCGCAACCGGCCGACTAAGCGGCGTAAGCGTCGTGTGGTCTCGAAAGAAGGAGCGGGAAGCACCCGAATCAAGGGTGAAGGTGTGTAAGGCCTGAGCCGGCGTGGTACCTGAGAGAGCAGACTCACCGGCACCTGGGGCAGCAGACGCACTAGCACCTAGAGCAGCAGCCTCACCAGCACCTAGAGCAGCAGCCTCAATGCCCGGGTTAGGCGGAACACACAGGTAACAGTCACCCTCAACACTATCAGCAACAGCATACATGGCAGCAAGAATAGGATCATAATCAAGATCAACGATAGAAACCCCCGCCCTAGACAGCTCTCCCCAGCGAGGGATCTTAGTGGCGTCAGGGAACTGGTGACGCCACGCGTCCGGCAGGCGGCCGAAGCAGCGCTGGGTGGAGTGCGGGCCCCCGCACTTCTCACCAGCGCGGTTGCCGGTACGGAGGACGTAGGTGCATGGACCAGTACCCCCACCTCGCTGACGCCCAGCGTACCACTCACGAAGCTGCTGGGGGGACGGGGTCTCACGACTGCGCTGCTGCTGCTGGCGCGGACCACCACCGGAGCCACTCCTCTGCACAGAGCCGCGACCAGCTCCACCGCTGCCTCCGCCGCCTCCGCCACCTCCGCCGCCTCCGCCACCTCCGCCGCCTCCGCTCCCTCCGCCACCGCCGCCGCCTCCTCCGCCTCCTCTACTGCCACCGACACCTCCACCCCCGCCACCACTCCCACCACCACCCCCACCCCCTCCACTGCCTCCACCACCACCTCCACCGCCCCCGCCAGCCCCTCCAACACCCTTGCCCCCCTTGCCCTTGCCGGTGCGGCATCTCCCGCTAGGGGTAGACGCGGCGCCGACCGACTCGAAACCAACGAGGTCGGCCGCAGCAGCAGAAGCAATAGAGGGCAAGAGGGGGGAGGGGGAACACCCCTGAAAGACGGGGGTGCGAGGGTCACCACGAGAGGCTCCTACAGCGACTATGCTCTTCTCTGCTGCTAGGAGGCGCTCCTCGAGGAGGTCAACGGTGAGTGTGGTGGGGCAAACTGAGAGGAAGTGGTCCCTGACTAAGCGAAGGGAGTCAGGGAGCCGGGTGACTATGTAGTAGAGGGTGATGTACATGGGTGGGGGGGGGGGTTCTTGGCACAGAATTCAGGGGGAAGCGCAGCGCGGGAGCAAGTGTCGCTAGTGCGAAGGTGCGTAATGAGGTCAGCGACTGTGGGAAAGGCAGCAAGGTCAGGGAACAGGTACGGCAGCATGAGGCCGCTAAGCGCAGCAGTGGCAGGGGAAGAGTAGCGTGCAACTACAGCGTTGTACAAGGTCTTAGCACTTTTGTACTGGCTAAAGTGCGCACGCTCAGTGGTCGGTAAGTGGCGACGCACAGCAAGACGGGCAGCAGCATCGCGTGTGGCCCACTGTGAGCGAACAGTGCTGTCAGCAGTGGCAGGCGGGGCAGGAGAGGCACCAGAGGTGAGATCGAACAGGGAGAGTCCGTCTGCCCTATTGCACTGTAGGAACAGCTAGAGGTCATCGACCCAGACCTCAAAGTCACCAGCACGACCCTCAGCATCAAAGGTAAGGACACTGGGGGTAGCCATGACTGCAGTGGCCTAGAAGAGAGTGATCTCACCAGTCCGAGTAATTAGGGCCGGGGCGCGCCGGTAGGAACAGTAGCAGCACGACGGCAGGGCGGCTCGGCGGCTCGACTGCTCGGCGGCTTGGCGGCTCGGTTGCTGGGCGGCTCGGCGGCTCGGCGGCTCTGCTGCTGGGCCGCAAGGGGCCTAGAGGGGCGGCGACGGGGCCGGAAAGGACGGCGACGGGGCCGCTAAGGGTGGCGCGAGGGGCCTCTAGGAGGGCGCAACGTGAGGGCGGCCTACGGGGCGCGCCTCGGGCAGGAGAAAAAGATCGAGTTAGGTGGTGGGCCCTGAGAAGCGTTCCTACGAGGGAACCTGCTCTATACCATGTGAAGAATGAGGAATGAATGATCTAGCAAGCAGGTGGGTACAAGTAGGAAAACCCAAAAGTGTTGTACCCCATATTTTCTACCCCACTACAGCCTACATAGACTATAGCATATGAGTTTGACACGCCGATGGCCGACGTGACCCCGAGAAGATCGTAAACGGGCAACGGCAGACGACACAGGAGCAGATGATAGGGAAGCTGTCGGCGTCGAAGCAGACTGCAGAGATGCCATCGGCAGAGGCGCCAGCTTCAAGGGAGTCGTTGGCAGGAAAGCCGATCCTGAGCAGTCGGTAGAGGAGCTGCCGACTGAGGAGCAGTTCGATGACGACTTGTCGAGCGACGACAAGTCGATGAGGCGCTGTACTTCAAGGTCGGCGACGACAGAGCCGCGTGCTGGGTGCTCGTCTACGTCGACGACCTGCTCGTCGCGAGCGGCAGCACTGTGATGCTGAAGGAGCTGCTGGAGGCCACCTTTGAGTTGCGCGAAAACATCCCGGTCGAGAAGTGACTCGGGTGGATATCGTGTGTGAGAGTACGACGACCTATGCCAGCTATGCTTGCTTGCCTTTACTTTGTTATGCTATTTCTAGCTTAGTTTTCTTTTATCATGCATAGATATGCTTGAGTTTCTATGTTAGGTGCATTCCTGTATTCTATTATAGTTATAGCACCAAACCAGGTTACGTGTACCGAACTCAAACTTATTTGGTTTCCACCGAATTGTTTCCTACCGAGTTCGGAAAGGTTCTGTTCGGGACGCTTCGCGACCCTCATAATATTCGCGTAACACCTGGGTAACTAGCCTTGTGTCGAGACTATACATAGCCTCGTGTTGTACCCAGGTGAATCATTCAATTCAAACTCTCTTTCCTCAGCACGATCCTAGATCCTCACATCGTGTGCGACCGTCCTGCGCGGAAGCTGTGGCAAGTCTACGTCGACAAGCTGCGTCGGCGTTTCATCGACGAGGAGCAGACCGGGCGAATGTCGAAGACGCCGGTCTCCGTCGACGCCTATGCAGAGCTGATGTTTACGACGATGAGTTCCAGTCGCGCGAGGAAGCGGAGTACCGGCAGAAGGTCGGCTCGCTGCAATTTGCGGCCACTACAACGAGGCCCTACATTGCCTTTGCTTGCAGCAAGCTCGGATCTGGCCTGACAATGCGGAGCGACAACCATTGGCGTGAGGTCGATCGTTGTCTGCTCTACCTCGCTGAAACCCATGCAGATGCCGACGACAAGCAGAATCGGACAAGCACGGACGGCTACTTGTTCATCTTCGGAGGAGCCGCAATCTCCTGGTCGAGCCAGCGCATCAAGTGCGCGATGCTCTCTTCGACCAAGTCGGAGTACGTCGCGGCCACGGAAGCCGGCAAGGAGACTCGCCGTCTGCGCTTCCTCCTTGCAGAATTCCGCCTGCTCGCCGCAAGGAAGCCAAGCGTTCTGCGCGTCGACAACTGGTCGGCAATCACGGTCGCAGAAGGCTTGGAACTCAAAGGCAACCTTCAGCATATGGAGTGACTCTACGCCTGGTTGCACCATATGGTGATGCGCGGGCAGATTACTCTGCAGTACATCCCAACCTCTTAGCAGTCGGCGAATGTTTTAACGAATGCGCCGCATTTTCCGACTTTCAACCGATGCTCCGTCGCAATCGGCCAAGTGGGTCTAACCGACGTGGGCGACGGGGATGACGAGGTGCAGCAGTAAGTGCCGTGCCCTTCTGCACGGCTGGTGCGGTGATCTGCATGCTCTATGTTGGGAGCACGTAGACAGAGTTTTCTCCTTGTATTCTATCCGTCTGAGTTTCAGGTGGACCTTGTGGGTGGGTGCACAAGCGTGAGCTGGGCAGGGGCGTGTCAAAGAGAAAGGCCCCGCCCTCGTTTGGGCGCAGCCGATCTCGCCATCGACGAGAAGTTTTCGATGGATTGGTCGACGAAGTGGGCTCCTCCAGTTCGACGGAAGTTGCAGTCGAGTAGGCTCTACTCAACAGAATCTGGTCGACATCGTCGACGGGCAGCGCTGGTCGAAGACAGCGGTCAACGAAGCCCGTCTAGAGGTTCTGGTCAACGAGGGTCATCCATGAGAGGTGGTCAAAGAGCTCCGTGCGACGAGCTCTGCGCGACGAGCTCTACGCGATGAGATCTGGTCAACGAGCTCTGCGCGACGAGCTCTAGTCGATAAGCTCTCCTTGGCGAACGCTGTTCGACTGAACGCGGTCAAGCTGATCGACCGAATTCGGAGAGGTGTGCGAAACTCTGTGGAGGTGTGCGAAACTTTGCCCAGGAGGTTTTGGCAAAGTTCGACCTGCGTAACGGCAGCACGTGGTCGACGGTGCGCACCTGGCAAAATCGACGACACGTTTTCTACCTCACAATTGTGCAATGTGTCTGACGGTGAAATCGTCAACCTGCACATACTTAGTAGGTGCGCACGTCTGCGCAGATAGAAAACCTGCTACTGCAGATAGCTACCTACGACTGCAGATAGTCACCTGCGACTTCGGTGCTGGTAGACTGCGCGCAGTGTAACACTAGCAGACTACTCTGCTGCAGCGTTGGCAAGCCGGTCTTCTGCTGCACTGGCAGATTTCACACTTGCTAGGTGTTGCATGCCATTCTAATCATACCATTTTGCATGCCTCAATTGTACTATCATCTTTTCATTGTTCAATGTTCTTTCATTTTCCTCCGTGGAATTCTTGCCAAACTTCTCTGTGAACACAAGCTCGAAGTAAGAACGCTACTAGAGCGCTGTGATCACTCGCTCAATCCCGTGCCCTCCTCCCTGGTCCACTCCTGTTCTGTAGTGACTTTCCACAACCTTTTCCACACAAGCGACGGTCGCGCACCATGCTGAACCCCGTCACCCTGCTTACTTGGTGGACCTAGAATCCACCAGGTCGGCGTCGACTTGCACGGTACAAGTCGACCAACAGTTGTATATGCTCGTCGACCGCCCAAGTCGACGACCACCTGCCGACTTCACAAAGTCGGCCCCTCACCAAGTCGACCAGTCCAAGTCGACCAGACCAGCTATCTGCCGACTGCACCAAGTTGGCTTCCCAGGTCGGCGTCACCAAGTCGACGCCCTCCCAAGTCGTCAACTCCCTTCGTCGACCACCTCGTTGAAGTTGGCCGCCAGCTTCCCGCCGTCGGCGTCATGGCAGTGGCCTCGTGCAGGTCAACCAACCTTGTCGATCTGGTCGCCCACGACAGCGCCGTCCACTGCAGCTGGTCAGCTGTGATAAGAATGAGGAGTACAAGTAGTAAACCCTAAAGTGTTGTACCCCATATGAACTGCCCCACTACAGCCTACACAGACTATAGCATATATGCCTGACACACCCCCATAGGCAAAGTGGGGGAGAACAAGGGGTCACAAGACCAGTCAAGCAAAGCAAAGCAAGCTCAGGGTGGATCACAACGTCACCACACAGTCCGAGCACAAGAGCAAGGCCACAAGGCCAGTTCACATGCAAGATCATATATATAAAGGTAAACAAGCAAGTGCAGGTATAGAAAGAGTACAGTAGAAACAAGATCATGAAGTGAGCAAGTGAGGACAAGTAGGCACAAGACCTAGCATAGCACAGAAGCGCTGATGATCACAAGGCGGAAGAGCCTTGGTGAAGATATCAGCAGTGTTGGCCTCAGAGGCCACGTAGGTGAGGCGGAGCTGACCACGCTGCTGCAGCTCACGAGCCAGGAAGTAGCGAAGAGCAATGTGCTTCGTTCTGTGCTCCTGTCTGTGCTCCCGACACAAGGCCAGCATGGCCTTGTTGTATACGTACAGAACTGGAGGAGAACGAGGTGGCTCTCCTAGGTCAGTCAGCAGGTAGGTGAGCCAGCATAGCTCCTGTGCAGCCATGGCCCCCGCGTAGATCTCAGCCTCACAGCTGGAGGTGAGAACAGAAGACGAGCAGGTAGACCGCCACGAAACAGAGCCGGAGCCAAGGCTGAAGGTGTAACGATGTGACGACCGCTGTGTCGGCTGGTCGTCAGCCCAAGAAGCGTCTGCGTGACCTGTGAGGACCACTCGACGTCGCCCTCCAAGCACTAGCCCCATGCCCGACGTACTGCACACGTAGCGCAACACCCTCTTCGCTGCAGCCATGTGCTCTGGTCGGTGTCTCCCAGGAGCAACATAGCGTGCCAAGATGCTAAGAGGGTATGCAAGGTCAGGTCGTGTGCAGGTCATCAGGTACATGAGGCAGCCAACAAGCTCTGGGTACGGGCCACTCGGCTCTACGGACTCATCCGAAGGCAGAGCTGAGAGCGAGTGGCGAGTAGACAGAGGAGTGGCTTGAGGCGAGGAGTACATGAAGCCGAAGCGCTGAAGGACCTGATGCATCATGTGTGACTGAGTCAGGTTAATGGTGCGCTGTGCTCTGTCCCGGGTGATCTGCAAGCCAAGGTAGCTGCGCAGTTCACCCAGGTCTGTGCACGTGTGTCTCTTATGCAGCTCGGACTTCATGTGGGCGAGTCCAGCAGTGTCAGCAGTGGCAAAGACCAAGTCGTCGACGTACACGAGGATGTAGAACGGCGGCAAAGAGGTGTCGGTGCGCAGAAACAGCGACGGGTCGGCTGTAGAAGGAGCAAACCCAAGAGCCGCAAGTGTGGTCCTCAGTGTGTCGTGCCACTCACGGGGCGCCTGGCGGATACCGTAGACTGGCCGCCTAAGGCTCCACTAGGTACCTGGAGGAAACGACCCAGTGAAGCCAGGTGGGCGGTGCAGCCAGATCTCCTCGTGCAGGTTGCCCTGCAGGAAAGCTGTGCTGAAGTCAAGAGAGTGAAGCTCGTAGTCGCGCTGAGCGCCTATGTGCAGCATCACCCGAAGAGTGGTCATCTTCGGGGTGGGAGAGAAGGTCTGAAAGTAGTCAACTCCCTGCCACTGACTGAAGCCTCGAGCCACGTAACGTGCCTTGAAGACAGGCGGAGAACCCGGCGGCCGCTTCACCCTCAAAATCCACATGCCACTGACGATGTTCGCCCCAGGTGGGGGAACCTCGTCAACGTAGGTGCCTGTGGACTTCCAGGAAGCCATCTCTGCGTCCATGGCTGACTACCACTGAGAGGAGTAGGGACCCTCGATCGCCTCAGCGTACGATAGAGGAGTCGGGATGTCTGGTGCATCTGGGTCTCCCTCAGGGGCAATCAGCGTGGACACGAGATGAGGCAAAGCAGCAGCAAAACACTGGAACTCCTTCTGCCTGTCCTCAAGGACGTCCGTGCTAAGAGCACACCCACCCCCGACGGACAGAGGACAGACAGACTCGGACTCAGCAACAAGACTAGTGGCGTAGTCTAGACGACAGCGAACAGCGAAGTCGACAAGCTCAGCCACTAAGGCAGACGCAGAAGTGGACTCAAAGGAAGGGTCAGTGACAACAGTGGCCAGGAGACGCGTGACAGTAGGACTGGCAGCACGAAGAGAGTCAGACTCAGGTTCAGGAAGGACAGGAAGAGAGGACTCTGGAGGAGACGGCAACGGGACACGCAGAGGAGCAGTGGAAGGACGCAGTGCCATCTGGTGTGTGCCTAGGACCGCAGGAGGACGCGGAGCACGACGACTAGCGCGAGCAGCCCGAACAGGCGACGCAGGACGAGACGCAGGCTCAAGACGCTCAGCAAGACCTCCAGTAGGACCAGTGTAGGGAGAAGGAGCAGGTAGAGGGGAGGTGTGCTGTAACTGTGACTGCGACTGGACAGGCTGTGGACACTCTAAGGGAGGAGCAGGACCAGTAGAAGGCGGGAGACCAAGAACCTGCTCAAGTAGCGGAACGAAGTACGGCCGCGGCCGCGCAGCGCCTCCAGCACGAGCAGGGACACCACCAGTACCCCCAGCGGCAGCACCAGCGCCAGCAGCACCTCCAGCTCCAACAGCGCCAACTCCAGCACCCTCAGACGCACCAGCGCCAGCAGAACCACCAGCGCCAACACCCCCAGCAGCTCTAGCTCCAGGAGCTCCAGCAGCACCAGCTCCAGCAGGACCGGCAGCTCCAGTACCGCCAGCACCTCCAGTAGGACCAACTCCAGCAGCCCCAGCAGCACTCCCAGGCCCAGCAGCTCCAGCACCGCCAGTACGAGCACCTCTAGAACTAGCAGCAACAGTAGTGCCTCCAGCTCCAGCAGCACGGCTCCAGTGCTGGGCAAACCACTCGCGCAGCTCCTGCGAAGAGAGTGGCTCCCGCCTCGACGAAGCACCGCCGGCGGTCACACGAGCAGACCCAACGCCCCCAGGCTCCGCACCTCCAGACTCAGCACCCCCAGGCTCAGCACCCCCAGGCTCAGCACCCCCAGGCTCAGCATCCCCAGACTCAGCACCCGCAGGCTGAGCACCTCCAGACCCGGCACCCGCAGGCTCAACACCTCTAGCAGCACTAGAGTCAACAGCTACCTCGACAGGCTCGACTGCGTCTACCTGGGACACACCTGACGGGGCAGGACCCTGAGGGGGGAGGGGGTCTACCGGGGGAGGACCTGGCACAAGGAAGAGCCGCGGCGGGGGAAGGGGCGCAGCACGGTAGGGGAAGAGACGGTAGTAAGGCACCGACTCGTCAAAGGTGACGTCCTGGGAGGACAGAACACGGCGCGAGGTGGGGTTGTAAAACTGCCAACCAGGCGCGTCAGGGGGGAAGCCAAGGAAGACGCAGGGAACAGCACGGGGAGACAGCTTGTCCGCAGACAAGTCGCGGACAAACGCCCGAGATCCCCAGACCCGAAACGCAGACGCATCGCCAACCTTTCCCGTCCACCGCAAGGTGGGGGAGGTCTCTGGCAAGGAGACCCGGGGCTGAAGGTTGAGCTGATGCGCCGCGTACTGAACCGCAAACGGCCACAGAAAATGGGGGGCAGCCGCATGGATCATGGACGTACGAGCGACGTCCATGACCATACCAATGCGGCGCTCAGCAATCCCATTTTGCTGTGGAGAGGCCGGAAGCGTGAAGGTCTGGCGGATGCCCTGTGCACGACAGAAGGCTCCGAGACGGGCAGAGGAAAACTCCCCGCCTCTGTCAGAGTGCAGACGCAGAACATGAAAGTCCGAGCCGAAACTCTCTCTGAGCTGGAGACGAGCTGCGCGGATCCAGTCGATCAACACCTCAGTGACTTCACCCTTGGTGCGCAAGGGGAAGACCGTGGTGTAACGCGAGTAGTCGTCAACCACCAACAGGAAGTAACGCTCGTGCCCCTAGCCACGGACGCGAGTGGGGCCCCACACGTCCATGTGAAGAGTCTGCAACGGAGCCTCTGTCGGAGGAAACTCGGAGGAGTGAGGGGCGGCGCGCTGTCGCCCCTCGACGCAGGGGACGCAGGTAGGGGCAGGCCCCGGAGGTAGGGGAGGGAGAGACCGGGGGAGACCAGAGACAAGGACACGGGAGGCCATGCCTCGGAGACGAGGCAGAGAAGGGTGACCAAGGCGGTGGTGCTAAAGGAGAGTCTGGTGAGACAAGAGACGACACGAGCAGGGAGCAGACTCAGGACTAGACCTGGACGCTGCAGAAAACACCTGACTCGACGCAGCGACCTGACGAGGCTCAGCAGCCGGAGGAGACTCAGTAGTGAGGGTGTACAGGCTCGACCCCGGCCGACGGGTGAACGTGGCCAAGTGTCTGCCTGTCCGAGCACACGTGCAGTGGGTCAGCCGCTATCTAGCAGGAGTGAACTGGTCAACCCCCCTATCCTGTAGATCAGCTCCACTCACCAAGTTCGTAAAGAACGAGGGGAGGTAGAGACCTGACAGGGTGCCAGAGGGGGCTGCCGAACAGGGTAAGTCAGTGGAGAAGCGAGCAAGGACAGGACCCCCAGAGGGGTCCGCCAGGGAGACCGCAACCGGCCGACTAAGCGGCGTAAGTGTGGTGAGGTCTCGAAAGAAGGAGCGAGAAGCACCTGAGTCAAGGGTGAATGTGTGTAAGGCCTGAGCCGACGTGGTACCTGAGAGGGCAGACTCACCAGCACCTGGGGCAGCAGACGCGCTAGCACCTAGAGCAGCAGCCTCACCAGCACCTAGAGCAGCAGCCTCAATGCCCGGGTCAGGCGGAACACACAGGTAACAGTCACCCTCATTACTATCAGCAACAGCATACATGGCAGCAAGAATAGCATCAAAATCAAGATCAAAGATAGCAACCCCCGCCCTAGACAGCTCTCCCCAGCGAGGGATCTCAGAGGCCTCAGGGAACTCGTGACGCCACGCGTCCGTCAGGCGGCCGAAGCAACGCTGGGTGGAGTGCGGGCCCCCGCACTGCTCACTAGCGCGGTCGCCGGTGCGGAGAACGTAGGTGCAGGGACCCGTACCCCCACCGCGCTAACGCGCAGCGTACCACTCACGAAGCTGCTGAGAGGACAGAGTCTCACGACTGCGCTGCTGCTGCTGGCGCATCCCCACCACCGGAGCCACTCCTCTGCGCTGAGCTGTGACCAGGTCCACTGCTGCCGCTGCCGCCTCCGCCACCTCCGCCGCCTCCGCCGCCTCCACCACCTCCGCCGCCTCCGCTCCCTCCGCCACCGCCGTCGCCTCCTCCGCCTCCACTGCTGCCACCGACACCTCCACCCCCGCCACCACTCCTACCACCACCCCCACCCCCTCCACTGCCTCCACCACCACCTCCACCGCCCCCGCCAGCCCCTCCAGCGCCCTTGCCCCCCTTGCCCTTGCCGGTGCGGCGTCTCCCGCTCGAGGCAGACGCAGCGCCGACCGACTCGAAACCAACGAGGTCGGCCGCAGCAGCAGAAGCAACAGAGGGCAAGAGGGAGGAGGGGGAACACCCCTGAAAGACGGGGGTGCGAGGGTCACCACGAGAGGCTCCTACAGCGACTATGCTCTTCTCTGCTGCTAGGAGGCTCTTCTCGAGGAGGTCAACGGTGAGAGTGGTGGAGCAAACTGAGAGGAAGTGGTCCCTCACTACACGGAGAGAGTCAGGGAGCCGGGTGACTATGTAGTAGAGGGTGATGTACATGGGAGGGGGGGTTCTTGGTGCAGAACTCAGCAGGAAGTGCAGCGCGGTAGCGAGTGTCTCTAGTGCGGAGGTGCGTAATGAGGTCAGCGACTGTGGGGAAGGCAGCAAGGTCAGGGAAGAGGTACGGTAGCATGAGGCGGCTCAGTGCAGCAGTGGCAGGGGAAGAGTAGCGTGCAACTACAGCGTCGTACAAGGTCTGAGCACTCTTGTACTGGCTAAAGTGTGCACGCTCAGTGGTCGGTAAGTGGCGACGCACAGCAAGGCGAGCAGCAGCATTGCGTGTGGCCCACTGTGAGCGAACAGTGCTGTCAGCAGTAGCAGGCGGGGCAGGAGAGGCACCAGAGGTGAGATCGAACAGAGAGAGTCTGTCTTCCCTATCGCACTGGAGAAACAGCTGGAGGTCAAGAGCTCCTGGGATCACTCGGCCTCCTGCATCGCCTCGTCTTGCAGGATATACGAGGTCAAGTTGTCCTCGTTGAGAGTGGCCCTCGTGCTTGGCGCCATGGACAGCCGCTTCAGCAGGTTGTAGCTGCTCGAGAGTCCCTGCATGACGTGGGTGACGTACGACGCCGTCGAGTACTGCGCGCCGGCCATCCTGATGGTGGCGAGTATTCGCCGGGCCCGGTTGCAGTAGTCGGTCGCCGTCTCCTCGTCGCCCATGCGCAGATGCGTCAGCTGTCCCTCTAGCTGAGCGATGCACAAGTCGTCAGTGACTTGATAGGTCGACTCGATGAAGTTCCACGCCCGGTGGCCGGCGTCGAGGTACTCTCGGCACCACTTCAAGGCAATCTGCACGCCCGGCGAGCAGCACCGCGAGATGACCGTGAAGGTCAACAACTGCACGGCGCGAAACTCTGCACGCAGGTCGGGGTGGTGCTCCCCCGGCGTCGCCACGGTCCCTCGGGCAAAGCCAATCAGCTCGGCCATCTCGAGCTGGGGCTCGATGGCTTCCTTCCAGGTGAGGATGTTTTGTCGACCAACGAGCGGCGGGGTGACCGAGATCCTGTCCGGCGTAAACTTGAAGTAGCCGTAGCTCTGTGCGATCCCGCCCGCCGTCACCTGTGTCGCCGACATCGGCGACAAACCACTTCGACGCCCACCGGCGTCGCCCTGCGAGGAGCCTGCAGCCGCCGACGGCTGCATCCCTCGCGCCTAAACGCCGCCGGCTTCACCGGCGTGTATCACACCTCCCTGCCTCGACGTGTCTCCCACACTGCTGCCGACTTGGCCACCTCCACCGTTGACGCCCACGTCGACGCCGCCTTCGTTGGTCACCAGTCGAGGAGAAGCTGGTCGTGAAGAGGGATGTTCCGTCGCCCACATGGAGCGGAGTCCTGCCTCGACGACTGCTCAGGGTATCGCCCCGTACTCCTGTGCCTCATGGCGTCTCCTCGCATCCTCCAGCCGTCCCTCCAGGGTGTCCATCACCTCGGCGTCGCCTACGCGCACGCTAGTGACTGCACGGCTGCCCGTCTACAAACACAATCGGTAAGTGTGAAGTCGGCTAGACTGAACTACGTCGCGGTGTTGTCCACGCTCACCGCACCATGCGGAGATAACTGCTGCAACGGAAGCTAGGCTATGGGCTAGGCACGTGTGCTCGTGTGATCTCTGCGTTCATTCACTTAGTCGTTTCCTTGTGTTCACGCTGCTTGCTCGTTCACGGGGAGAAATGGCAAGAGTTTCACTAGGAAAACATGGCAACAATGATAGCAACAACATTGGCAGCATTGACTACATCAGAGCTAGCTAGGCTGCTGGTCGACCTCCAGCGCAGCATGGTCGACCGCACTCTAGCGCAGCAGCGCTCGCACCGCTCCAGCGTAGCAGAGTAGCAGTTTGCCAACGTTGCAAGTCCACGGTGTGCCAGCGCTGCTCCAAGTCGGCTGCACAGCGTTGTACCCGCAGGACAACGGTGCACTCCTCTGGCCGGTAGGCAGAGGAGTGGACTACGGCGAGGAGAACTGGAAGTCGAAGCGCTGAAAGACCTGCTGCACCATGTGTGACTGAGTCAAGGTAATGGTGTGCCGTGCTCTATCCCGAGTGATCTGCAAGCCAAGATAGTTGCGCAGCCCACCCAGGTCTGTGCACGTGTGTCTCTTCTGCAGCTCCAACTTCACGTGGGCCAGTCCAGCAGTGTTAGCAGTGGCAGAGACCCCGTCGTCGACTTACACGAGGATGTAGAACGGCGGCAGCGAAGTGTCGGTGCGTAGAAACAGCGACGGGTCAGCAGTAGAAGGAGCAAACCCAAGAGCCGCAAGAGTCGTCCTCAGTGTGTCGTTGTGAGAGTACGACGGCTTATGCCAGCTATGCTTGCTTGCCTCTACTTTATCATGCTATTTCTAGCATAGGATAATCATATGCATGCATGAATTGCTTGATTTCCTAGGCTAGGTGCGTTCCTATATTTTATTATAGTTATAGCACCGAGCTAGGTTGCATGCACCGAATTCTGGCTTTTCGGTTGCCACCGAATTGCCTTCTACCGAATTCGGTAAGGATCTGTTCGGGACGCTTCGCGACCCGCGGAACCTTCGCGTAACACCTGGTTACGGGGCCTTGTGTCGAGCCTACATATAGCCTCGTGTTGTACCCAGGTGGACATTCAATTCAATTCAATTTGAATCATCTTTTCTTAGCTCGGTCCCAGATCCTCACACTTGGTAACCAGAGCGGGTTTACACGCGAGGTCTTCAACCGCTTAGTTCCGGCCTTTAAAAACCGCGGGGGCGACGACGAAAGCGCCGATACGGGTATGTAAAACCAGTTCCGCGCAATTTTTCTAAGTCCCACTCGATTCGGTTTTCGAACACCCCTCAGATTTACTGGTGGAAAGGTTGGAGTTTCGACCGTTCGATCGAGTTTCATCTCAACGGCCCAGAGAATTTCGCCCAAAAAGGTTGGAATTTGGAGCGTCGGATCGATTTTCTCCTCAACGGCCAATTTCGCCTAAGGGAGATTTACGCAACCTACAGAATTCGCGCTCGTCGATTCTACAGTCAATTTGACTCGCAGTAAGTCGACCAGCACCTAGGATTCGATTATTTTCGTCGCGCATCTTCCTGTAAATCACCAAATGGAGGGCCAAGGCAACAACTACGCGACTACGAGCGACATTGCGAGCCTCCGCACCGACATGGAGCAGACGCAGGCGACGCTTCGTCGACTCGAGGCTTTTCTGACAAGCCAACCAGGGTTCGCCACCGCAGCAGCAGCGACCACAGCGACTGCAGCACCGACAACTCCAGCAGCAGTGGCGACACCGACATTTCACGGACCAATGGCACCACTGTCGCCGAACCTCGAAGCAGCACGACCGAGGCTCCCGGAGGCGTTCGATCCAAGCGCGAAGGGATCCGACGTCCGGCGATTCGTGGCCAGCCTCGAAATTTACTTCGAGGCCATTGGCTGTTCGACCCCGCAACACGACGCAGCAAGGATTCGGCTCGCAGCGACACTGTTACGTGGACCGGCTCTCGAATGGATTTACTACACCGACGTAGCCCGCGGGGAGAAAACGTGGCAGCAGTTTCGGGCAGATTTAATCGAGCGTTTCGAACCAATTAATACAACCTACATGGCGCGGCAGCAGATACACCGACACAAGCAATACAGTAGTGTAACACAGTACACGCAGCAGATGGAGTTACTGTTCAACCGCATCACCGACCTGACCGAAGGCGAAAAAATCCAGGCGTACACCGAAGGATTAAAAATGGAGATTCGGCGGCAGGTGATTGCGGCGAATTACAACAGCTACAGAGACATCGTGCGTGCTGCCGAGCGATACGACGCGCTAACTCGAAGTCAACCCGAAACACGACGCTTCACGCCGAACCGTACATTCGGCACGGAGCGATCGGCACCCCCCACGTTCACCGAACCGATGGATATCGACAAATACGAGGCGAAGCAGCAGCCGACAAAATGCGAATTTTGCGGCGCAGCAGGACATCAGTTTTTGTCGTGCTACAAAATGAAGAAAGCACGTGCGGCACTCCGGGACGGAAACAGTGGAGCACCCACGAAGTCAAAAAACGGGAATCGCCAGTAGCCGCGGATCGACCTAGCGATCGCGTAAAGATCCAAAATGCAGGAAAAGGCGACGACATGGCGACTTCGGAGCGGGTGAAAAAAGGAGAAAATGATGGCGCGAATTTAAAACGTCATGACCGGCCGGCATCAGGGGAAATCGCCGAGGCGAATGGAGGCTCCGCGAAAAAAGACTCTGCACCGACCGGGAAACTCCAGCCGAACTCCCACGAAAGTAAGAATTCGTTAAAAGTATCCTATAAAGATGCTCTAACGAAGAATATTGCTTCTCGTGGTTTACAAGCCTTCAAAAAATTCAGGGGAGGTCTAGAGGCCAAGAAAAAGTTTTTAGAAATTATTCAGGTACCTGAGAAGTTGGGCAAAATACTATGGAGCATAGAGAAGGGTCGTGCGTTCCGTGGAGTGAATATTCTCTCCCCGCAGCACAGTGTTAAGGCTCCCTGTCGCCCACAGGTGAAGCCTACACAGCTGCCAAGGCTTAGAGGAGACATCCAGGCTCAGGAAAAATTATACAAGCCTCGGAAAAATCCTACTACCCCCCAGGTGAAGTTGGAAAGCGCTGAGTCAGGTATAGGAAAAAGGGAAGGTATTAAGTTTGATGTACCCTATGATCCTATTAACGAGACCCTCTTTGGCTACTCAGCACAGCAGAAACCACTACTCCTCGAGGTGTAATGCAATGGGCGACGCCTCCAAGCATTGGTTGACAGCGGTGCATCTCACTCGGTGTGTGACCGCGGAGCATTGGAGAAAATTGGAGAGAAGGCGGAAGAGACCCAGTTTTCAGCAACCATGGTGGACGGTACGAAGCTTCCTATCCACGGCGAAGCATCACTGCAACTGCATATAGGTGCGTTGAGGTGGAAGCCGAAGCTACCAGTCACCAACATCAAAGGATTAGATTTTATCTTGGGGCGAGATTTCCTGAAGCGGTTCAACCCCGAGAT